AAGTTTTTTTCCACTGGAAAAAATGCACATGGAATCTCCCTTTACTTAGCTCCTGAGGCCAATGAAAGCTTGGGGCTTCTCTTGAGCTGAAGATCTGAGGCTGCAAAGCAAAAGGATTGCTGAGAACAATTACAAAGCACCTGAGAAAGGAAGCTGAATACAATCTATGAAAGGAAAATGAATACTACAATCAATTACAAAAGATCCCTCACCAGGAATCCAGATTTGTTTTGGTGATAGTTTATTATGGAGGTCCCCCTGTTTGTTTGAGGGGGGGGGGGGGACCCCCCTTTACTAATCAGGATCCAACATTAAGTAAGTAAGTAGGTAATTAAGGTAAGGTAAGGTAAGATAAGGTAAGGAAGGTAAGGCTTGGTAAGTATGTACGTATGTAGGAATAATCTATATATACATATGCTGCGCCATATATTACTATATGATGTGTCAACGCAATGGGGCACATTTCGTGGCAGCATCCGAGCAGCTCCCACATCCCTGCAGCCGCCATCATCGCATTCCACAGCTGCACTCAAATATAGCATTGCAGACAAGGCTTGGAAAGTGTTCATCATCGGCACCCAGCCGATGATATAGCCCAGCCAAAATGTGTCTCGCAACAAAAACCTGGGGTGACATAGACATGCTGCATGTATCAAATATCGACAAGTCACGCCAGCATTGAGACTTGTAACAAGAACAAAGATTCTCTCTTCCTAACAGTTTTCCTCAATTCCTGCTATCCAAGCTTCTGCGCCAGGGAAGCAATGGCCAAGATAAGGATCGTCAACACTGAGGTTACTGCATCAGCAGTCCGTGCTTTTTCAACGAACATGCTCATGCAAAACACCTTGGTAGATTCTTGCGATGTGCTCTTACAACCCATGGGCACGGGGCGACAAGAAAGTGCATGTTGTTTCCTTCAGCAAGTGCTACCATGTGCAATCTTTGGGAAGGATCTGGATTTATTCAAACGCATCTTGATATAACTGTTTACACCCATGAAAGGCCTAAGCACACCTTAATATCAAAAAAGCACAGGCTAAGTTCAGGAGCACAAGCTAACATAAGTGCAGCCCCACATGTTCGAGCAAAGGCACTAGCAACAGCGCCTGGACATAAGCGGATGTGAGGATAATGAAGGAGATGAAAAAATTGACGGTGTTGAGTATCGGAACAACTGCCAACCAAAAAATGTAGATCATGCCCACGCAAACAGCTGCAATGATGAAATAGAAAGTGAACCAGCTGGTCCAGAACATATTTTCGCTCATTCCATAAATGTTCTGGGCGATCTTAAGCTTCTTCTCCTTCTCGCCGATGATATCGATCAAAGCTCCATTCATTCCAAGGGTTATCCCAATGAGAGTGTTCAGTGGTATGAACGAGGCCATCAGCCAGCGTTGAACGTACTTGGAACCGGTTTCTTCGCCAACGCCTTTGAAGATGTAATACAAAATGACCTCAGAGTTTGTTCATGCTGCCCCTGACAAATAGTCACAGTACCGCTGATTGAAGCCCAGGTGCTGTGAATCCCATCTGGATCGCCACATTGAAAGGCGCAGTGAAGAAGCGGCCGCGCTTGAATGCCAAAAAAAATGTTCTTCCTCCATGCCACCTCAGAAGAACAGCGGTCTAAGGGGTTTTAAGCAGGGTTCTTGAGGGCAAATATTAGGCAATTATGGACAGATCGGAAAATTGATGCAAGAAAAGCTGAGCAATGAAGAACTCAGCTTTTAAAGGTTGAAATACTTGCCCCACCTTGAAGACAGCAGTCCGTGAAGGTGGTTCAGGAGCTTTCGTGCTTGCAAGCGAGTCTTGAACAGCCATGGCACAGATCTGCGCGAGACGAGCTCAGGGAAGCTATCTTGTCTCTGGCTTGAGCAGCTCCATGATTACAATGAACAAGTTTGTTCAAAACCAACAGGACGGCCAGCACCTGCCTTTGAGCTTTTGGCAAGGGGAGTCTTTTCTTGCGTCCGCATCAAGTACTCTATTTTCTAGAGACCGCCTATGCATGAAGCTAAGGGTGCATCTTCATCAACAGAGTTGAATCAAGAGCCCGGCTTGATCCCATCCTCGATGCTTGTGCAAGCATTTCTCCTGCCACGTGTCCTAAAACAAGCTTGATGGAACGGCCCTCGAATTTATGCACCAAGCTCGGAGAA